AAATTATGAAATGCTCTGTTGGGAAAAGGTACAGATCATTCCGAAGGCAGGGCGATTTGTACAACGCGGAGCATTCCAGGAAGGATAATAAAACATGGTGGACCTTGTAGGATACAAACTTTGGAATTCAGGTCAAGTTTGAGAAAACAGCAACAACGTTTCCTTCATAAAGTAAGGAGAGAAGTAAGAACGGGCGAATTGTTATCTTGGTACCACGTTTGGCCTGAAGTGGATAACCCTCGTGCGAATCCATAAAAAGGGGGCGCGGGAGCTTGATCTTTGGGTTATCTTGGGAGCTTTGAACTTTCATGGTTTTCCATCCACTTGGTTCGATCCTATTGGGAGATAAACGTTGAATCGGCAGTCCCGGCACGAAAAAAAAACGCACACAAATTTTCAGCATTAAATCGGCGTTTAAACCATCTACTGTTAGAATTATGAAGTCATAGAATCTAAAAAGAATTCCTAAACAGTAAGAATAATATTTTAATCAAAGGACGGAATAAACTCTTAAATGCTTATCTCTTTTTAACAAATTATTCGCTCACAAACATACGTGGAAAAGCATTATGTTTAACAATGACATCCCGCATAAGGCGATTCAACCACATGAACCTTATACAGATCATCCAAAAAAAATAGAGACACCATTTCTCGAATGGACGATACTGATAATACTCCACAAATCCCATAGGGTAGATCGTTATGTTTGCTTGAGAAAAAAGAAGCACATCGACACAATAATGGTCATTTAGTGCTGGGGAAAAGTAGAACAGACATAGAGAAACAACAGAGGTAGAGTAAAGAAGTTGGGTCTACCAGCCACGTCAGAGCGGAGTTAACTCTGTGAAAAAAAACGACGGAACGTAAACATAAACATAATGTAAACATATATGTAAACAGAACACATTTCTGTTGGTCAGCCATGGTGGGATAAACTTCAAGTCCTCCGAACATCTATCCACAAACTGCCCACAACTCGACGCCATTAATTTGTGCATGCGACACTTAATATTGACATACAAAAAGTGTTACGATCACTATGGACGGCGACACGGAACAGAGCGTTCATCTGCAGGATATACTGGCAAAAAGCATGCAAAGAACGCCATACTAGATCGACGTCATCTCAACAATTATACTGAGAATTACGTAGCCTGGTCCTTGGACGGGGTTGTCAACGATTTAAAACAATTGAAACAGTTATCTATTAATTTATAGAGCATATCGTTTTAAAGGGAGCGGGGAGATCATTTAAAACGGCCAACAATGAATTGACCAGGCCAATCGCTAAAAAAATAGAAAGGGGAAAGAAAGGGCGCAATCAGGCACCAACTTCTTCACCTTATGTTAGCTGGAAGAAACAAGGTAATTCTGAGAAAGCAGGGGGCATTGTTCAACTTTAAAAAATCATTTAAAAACAGCGTCAGCTAACAAAACACGATGATTAGCTTGGTGTGTGAGGCACACAGACAGACAGCTCATGAGCTTACGTTACACATGAAGTGCAGCTGGACATCAAATATCAATACGAAGATGGACCAAACGCATTTGGGTGAAAAGGCAATGGCGACTATTATCAAAACGATTGATACGGAAAGTAGCCCCAGATATTTCCTGCTATGAGCTCTGTCTCTGTCTCTGTCTCTGTCTGTCTCTCTCTCTCTCTCTTTCTGGGCACAGAATTTGAGGAAAAATATCCCGAGCTACTACACCAGAATAAAAAAGTTCTCAAGAAAACCAAGCAAATAACACCCAATAGTACCCAAAAGAAAAGATATGGGGGCACAACTACTGGGCTGGATGCAGGCAAACGGGGAGGTAACAGAACGTATTTGCTACACCACAAGCAAAAACAAAACAGAGAAAAGAGTGCATGCAGACACCAACAGTCGTGGGCGTCTCCCCCCTCCCCCGTCTGTCCAACCTACGAGACACTCTTTTTCTAACGTTTGTCTCCTGCCTACTCATAGAAACTGTGATCGTGTTGGGAAATACATTGTAAGCACTGTTAATACGCACCAGCCACAGCTGCAAGGGAAGAAGGAATAGAGAGAACAAGGGATAGGTAGGTCGCTTATCTGATCACTATATCAGGCTTTTTATTTATAGAAGGGAACAGTTACATAGCATTTTCCCCTGTGATAGTTTTTTTTTATTAATTTATTGATGGTAGTTGTAAAACTATTTTACGCCCCATTCGGTTAGATTTAGACCATTCAGAAGGGCCCTGCTTCAACCCTGCCTGTTAGGGACAACCTATACAAAGTGGAATACTACATCCCAGCAGAGAAATGGAGACTCGATAAACTAGGACTTCCCCCTTTCGGGACAGGGCCTCAAGTCTTTGGTAAGCTTTAACCGTAATACCTCAGACGCCTCAGTAAGCTGATCAGATCAGATCTCTTCGAAAAGTTGTCAAAATGCTGGAAGAACGATGTGGTGAATTATCATAAAACAAGACACTCCTCGCAACTCTTATTAAAAGACTAAAGGCCGTTTTCCCATCAACGAGGACGGCATTTTGGGCCCTTAACTGACACTCTATCAAATCTACACAAGTCTACGAGACGACCATCCCGAGGGAAATAAAACCCCAAAACTCATACGTTGGAGCTTTGTCAAGATTCTCTACGGTATTAAAACACAGATTAAAAAAAAACAACAACAACTAATAAACGCACATTTCAAGACAATGTCTTTTAACGTCTTTCTGATCCCTCTCCCCTTCGTCTGGACCACGACAGTAACTTCATAGCCGCCTAACATAGGCACTACACACAGCGCATAATAAGAATAGGTAGGAGGGCGGGAGCTAAAGTAAGTACGCACAAAGGCCATCCCGACAGAGAGACAACGTCATTCATTTAAGTCATCTCTAAACATCATGGAGAGAACGAAAAAAAAAGAGGTCTAAGAACAGTAAGATACAACAACAAAAATCCCCACAGATTTTTACAAATAGCAATGAACAAACAATGCGCTTGGCATGGACCAGCTGTAGCTTTTGGCGTCTTGTGAAATGAGATGAGATGAGTGTCGAGCAGAACGTTGATAGCAGAAGGGTCCAGGGGACACGAAAGGGGTTGCGTGAGCGAGAGTACGCGTGCGCGCGCGTGTGAGTGAGTGTGTGTGTGTGTGTGTGTGTGGCAGAAGGGTCCAGGGGACACGAAAGGGGTTGCGTGAGCGAGAGT